ACCCATATCTTTCATTTCAAAGTTGTTAGAGAGAAACTTCTTAGTCTCACTTAATAGACCAAGATCATTAGTCGCAAGCAAGATATCATCAACATACAGAATCAGAAATATAAACTTGCTCCCACTGACCTTCAGATATATACACCGATCAACAGTGTTTTCCTTAAATTCAAAGGATAAAATAGTATCATTGAACTTAAGATACCATTGTCGAGAAGCTTGTTTAAGTCCATATATTGATTTCTTAAGTTTACACACCATATGTTCATTTCCTTCTTCAATAAACCCCACTGGTTGATTCATATAAATATCCTCTTCTAAATCTCCATTCAGAAAAGTAGTTTTAACATCCATTTGATGCAACTCAAGATCATAATGAGCTACTAATGCCATGATAATTCTAAAGGAATCTTTCTTAGAAACAGGTGAAAATGTTTCCTTATAATCAATGCCGTCTTTCTGAGTAAAACCTTTGGCAACAAGTCGGGTCTTGTAACGTTCGATATTGCCATGAGAGTCACGCTTAGTCTTAAAGACCCATTTACACCCAACACTCTTACATCCTTCTGGTAATTCCACAAGATCCCATACACCATTATGTGTCATTGATTTAAGCTCATCTTTCATAGCATCTAACCATTTATCAGAATTATCACCATTAATGGCATCTGAAAATGAAACTAGTTCATTATTAATACTTAGGTCATTTTCTGACTCTTGTAGATAAACCACATAATCATTCGAAATAGCAGACTTTCTTTCTCTGTGAGATCTTCTTAATACTATTTCCTGTGGTTGTTATATTATCGGATCATTGTTAATCGCAGGATCATTAATTTGTTGTTCTTCTTGATTTTTGTGTGGTTCTACAACATGTGGAACAACAACTCTTGAAGTAGATGTACCTTTTATGGGAACTTGTATTCTAACTTCCTTAATCTCCACATTTCGTGAAGCTTCCACTCCCACTAGTTTCACCATTTTCAATGAATCGAGCATTTCCAGTTTCAATAATTCTTGTACTATGAGTAGGACAGTAAAACATATACCCTTTTGATTTTTCTGGATAACCAATGAAATATTCATTGATTGTTCTTGCATCCAGTTTCTTTTCTTGTGGATTATAAATTCTTACTTCTGTCTGACTACCCCAAACAAGCAGGTGTCTCAAACTAGGTTTCCTATTTTTCCATAACTCAAAAATCTTTTGAACAACTTTACTAGGAACCTTGTTCAACAAATACATGATCATCTTTAAAGCATACATCCACAACGATACAGGTAAACATGAATTACTTAACATACTCCTAACCATATCAAATCATAGAAGTACGCTTAAACAAACTGAAACAACCATTCCCAAACTTAAAAGAGTATCCAACAACATCAAGCTTAGACAAAGAAACTAAATTTCTAATGATACTAGGTACATAAAAAGTATCCATAAGGTCTAAGTGATATCCAGTGTCAAGGATTAAACGATAAGTCCCGACAGCTTCCACTGGAACCTTGACTTTATTCCCCATGAAGACGAACTTCTTATTTGGGTTTATGGTTCGGGTTGAAAGGAATCCTTGCATTACATTAGAAACATGAGTCGTACATCCAGAATTAATCCACCAAGTATTATGGGGAACTTCAGTTAAATTTGATTCAAAACATACATAAGCATTGTGCTCACCCTTCTTTTCGAACCAAGCTTTACGCTTTAAACAATCCTTCTGAAAATGTCCAGACTTCCTGTAGAAATGACATTTGTCATTTTTCTTTTGAATGTTAGTAGAGGACTCGTTAATCTTTAATGGTCATTTACCCTTTCCATGTTTCTTAACAATTTTCTTTTTAGCTCCTTGATTTTTCACGTAATGAATAGAGTGGCTTCCTAGGTTCTTGAGTCCGGTCTCCTCCTGAACTAACATATTGTGCAATTCATGCACATTCCATTTGTCTTTCATGGTGTTATAATTCATCTGAAACGGACCATACTCAGGCGGTAACGAGTTCAAAATGAACTGCACAAGAAAATTTTCTTCCACTGCCATTCCAAGAGACTTGAGTCTTGCTGCGATATTTGTCATTTCGATTATATGTTCATGCATACTACGAGAACCATCAAACTTCATGGTGATCAACGTACTCATCAATGTCCCAGCGAGAGATTTGTCAGCAGTTTGAGAGCGCTCTTCCACAAATTTCATAAATTCTTTCACGTCCTTAGTTTTGGAAAAAGCATACTTAATATTGCTTGCAATACTCATTCGCATAAACATAAGACTAAGTCTATTTGAACTTTTCCAAACTCTATAATGAGTTTTCTCTTTGTTGCTACTAGCATTAGTGATAGCAGCCGGTTTTTCAACTTAGAAAGCCAAATCAAAATCCAACTCACCTAAGTGAAATTGGACTTTCTTACTCCAGTCAGGGAATTTAATTTATTAAAGATTGGAACAGACAAAGTAAGCGAATGTAGAAATACATAATAAACAAATACTTCAATTAACACATGTCTAACATTAACGCTTTGAGTCATAAAAACTAAACATAAATACAGATTCAAACATAAATAACCATTCTATGCATACTAATGTTCTCCTTTGGGAGATCCACTAATACACAAACATAATTACGCTAATATTTTTATAACATTAATGATAATTAAAATATGCATCAACTAGAATCACTTAATACCTTTGGGTATATAAATAAAACTAGTGACGCACACAAAATTATCTACTTTCATGTTCATTAATGATAATAACAATTAATCAACCTTTGGGTGATCCTGAAATGCCTTATAATAATGAACTTCAATTAACCCATAAATCATTATTCATAATTTTAGCATTCATACTATAGGTAATTGAAATAAAATCACTAATAATTTGAAATCAAAATAACCTTAAAATTTTGGCCACTTTGGTGACTAACAAAATTTATCATGCTTAATTTCAAATAAATAACATCTTTAATTGCTATTAACCATTCATAGCATTTTTTTTATTAATTTTAATAAATATGTACATTATTCACATAATAAAATATTATGTGCCATAAATAAAATTAAAACTCATAATTTCAATTTTCATCCTAAGATTGATTTTCAATCCAAGACCTTTATTTGCATTTCACGTAAAAGTGAAATTGTCATCCATTCAAAACTTTTATGAGTAATTTAAACACAGCGGAAACAATACAATTCAGTTTGCAAAACAAGATTCATTCATTTATCAATGTTTACATTATAGGTACATTAACAAAGCTTCACAAGTACATTAACAAAACAAGTATATTAACAACCTTAACAAAGCTTCACAAGTACATTAACAAAACATTATATTAACAACCTTAACAAAGTTTCATAGTACATTAACAACCTTAACAAAGCTTTACAGTACCTTAACAAATTTACAAGTACCCATAACAAAGTTTTACAGTACCCATAACAAAGTTTTATAGTACCCATAACAAAGCTTTACAGTACCCATAACAAAGCTTTACAAGTACCCATAACAATATAGTACCTATAACAAAGCTTTACCGTACTCTACAAGTATGAGTATATTATACAACTCACTTTAACATAAAAATAACTCTTTAATTATCCTTCCCCCACATAAAAAAAATATGTACGTACAAAATAATGTACAAATAATATGGGGACAAAATAATATACATTCAAAATAATATTATAAATAATATAATATATGAAACATATGTGTTTAACATGTGCTCTCTACGTGCAAAGTTTATCAACTTTACAGCTTTACCATTCTTCCATTATAATTATAATATCCCATCATAACATCTCATCATAATTATAACATAATTATAACATCTAATGAAACTAATTTCATACATGATTCATCCTAACCCTATCACGCCATTTGCCTTTTCAATTAGAAAGGATTACAGGGTCATTCATGCATAGGGACTATAAAATTGGTTTCAATTTGAACTTGAAAACATAATTAGGGTTTATTCCTTTATTTAATTTTGAGAAAAATAAAATTGGGAATAAATTAGGGTTCATACTAATCTGATAAAGAAATCCCTAAATTCATAATTAGGGTTTATCTTAATTTGGGAAAAACTTAATATTTGGGAAAACTTTCATACAAGGAAAATCATAAATCTAATAATCGAGTGCTCGATACCACATGTAAGACATTATGTAGTTTTCCTACGTTCTTAATTCATTATAGAAAACTACTCTACAGGATCTTTAGATTATTGATTTTCACAATTTTACATACACCAATACATGAATCATAATAAGAAGACTAACCTTGATCCATGAGAATCTTTTCTTTGATCTTTTCGTTCTCCTATCTCCTTTTCCCAATCTATCTCTTTGTCTTTCTTTCTCTTCTCACGCTTCGCTTTCTTGATGGTTTACCGTGAAAAACTTTATGACCAGAGACAGAACCCTTATTCCATTTTATTAACCAACGTCCATCAAGTTGGTTACCGTAATGTAATATTTTATTTTATCTTTATTTTATTCTAACTTCACATAATAACCAATAGGTCCTCATATTTTATTAAATCACATTTGGGCCCATTATAATATTTCAGATGAGTCACATAATGGAATGAATTAATTAAATTAATTCTAACAAATAATACTTATCATCACCCAAAAAATAAATTATGAGATGTTTTCTCTGCTCTTTTCTCCTAGTCGAGAAAAGAAAATTTCCAGAGAAAGAAAGCAGAACTATGTTAAAATTTACAAATACTTGACATAAATTATAGAAAACATTAAACAAAGGCCTATTATTAGTGACCAATTTATTCCATTTGCATGCAAGCATGCTAGCTTGCATGTACATACACTCCATTCATATCTCCCCATAACTTTGATCACTACCAACATAAAACACAAACTACAGAAAAGAAAGAAAAAGAAAGCCTCAGGCTCGATCAAGCTTGATACATTCCTCGTATTCAGCTGCCAACTTCACACTACTTTTTTTGTTTCTTCCAAACCTCTCACACACTCATGCATCAGCACGAAGATAACGCTCCTCTTGCGGCAGCTGAAATGGGAAAAAGAAACTCTCCTTTCTGTCGAATATTTCGTTCACAATATTCGAAGGATAGTTAAAGGCCAGCTCCTTAGCAAGGTCGTCCAGAGAGCTCACAATGTTGTCCTTCCCTGTTACAGACAATAAACTACCTTAAACTTTGAAATAACCAAAAAACCAGATGTAGATGCATGCATAGTATAATTAATTAAGGATTTATATACTATATGCATACCAGAAAATGTAAACTTCTTGTTGTCTCGAGCGTTAATCTCGAAGCAAATAATCTGGAGATTCTCCTTCCTGGAAGAGAAGAGCACGAAGGGGTGACCGGGAGGGACAACAAACACCGATCTTGGCTTCAAGGCGGCACTGATCCTATGGTATGAGGGACTACTCTTTTCATGCTTTGAGTATGACCTTGATGAGATGTGGGGACATGCAATTTGAACATGCCCTGTACCATTGATGACCAGTGCTATTTTCGTTGCATGTGAGTTATACTGAATAGTACTCATAGATTCCTTCACAGGAAATCAGTGTCAAAGGAGAGCATGCAATAATTTCATCGTTAGTTAATAATTAAATATGTGTACTAAATAAACCAATCTCAAATCATGTTAAGAATCAATTAATTATATATTATGAAACACAACCTATTGTGTTGACAATGTAGAGAGTATACACTCCTTTTTTCTTAAAATTTTACTGCAAATCTAGTTTTTATGTACTAGATGAAAACCAAGATAAATACAGTAAAAATTAACAACTTATTGTGGATGAAAAATCTTTAGTTAGGTAACAGTTTGGGAACTAATTTACACATTAGTTAAGGAGATAAATAATAAAGGAGTTTGAGTAAAATGTTGGTAATCTACCTGGGTGATGCTGGCAAAGGTAAGCATGATATTGTGTTTTTCAAGGCCGCTCTTGGAATCAGAAGGACCTACTTCTGTTAGACGACCATAACTGTTGGAGAAAGTGGGAGGCATAGTGAAAAGATTGAATTCAGCCGTAGATGGGCCACCAAACCACCAATAGCTTTTCTTGGGGGCCAACTCCTGCACCTTTTCTCTGCTTATTTTGAACATACTTCCCTCATTCTGTTGACTAAAAAGCTTCTCTAACTTTCCTTTTGAACTCTGTAATAAATTCCCATTTTAGCACAAACTATAAGAAACCAAAGTAGTGAAACTCACCAACCATATAAAATGAGCAACAAGTGCTTAATATATAATGTAATGAAGCATGTTATATATATATATATATATATATATATATATATATATATATATATATATATATATATATATATATATATATATATATATATATATATATATATATATATATATATATATATATATATATATATATATATAGTTAGTAGGGTCTACCTGTAGTGCAGCTTGAAGCACATTGTAGCTAAATGCTGAGAGGATCGATTCTGGGTCTCGTCCTCCAGGACCGAAAAATTCCTACACCACAATTTCCTTAGATCAGTATATATAGAATTCAATTATATACCATTTTCTACTTTGTTTAATAATTGATCATGTGGCTTCAATCATGCAAGTTCATTAGGGTGACAAAATTAATTCATTTATAAATTATCCATCTCCAAATAAATTCATCCAATATACTTTGTTAAGTGAATCATTGATGATGTATGTAAGTACTGAGAAGCAGTAACCTCAAATTTTCCAGGAGTGGAGACAGGTATATGGAGCATGGCAAGGACGAGCTTCTCATTCTCATCTCTGTTAACGATGTATATTGGGGTGCCTGCTGGTATCATTAACATGTCTCCAGATTCAAGGACGAACTTTTCTGTTTCACTTTCCTTCACCCACCCAAGTAGGGCTCGCCCTACCAGATAGTAAAACAAGAAACGAAAAGTAGGAAATTTCAGAAATTGTACAGTACTATCAACTCTATATGTGAATAACCAACAGAAAAGAGGCAAAACATAATTAATACATGAATAACTGAAATTGAAAAAATATACATGTAATTGTCTAAATATATATACCGTTTATGTTGAACAAAACAACATCAGAATCAAAGTGGCGTGGAGACACGAACGTGTGCGCTCTAGCTTCTAGAATGGCCAAACGGATATTCTGAATGCCTTTAAGAAGCTTGGATTTCTCAGTGAACTTCTTCAGAACCCGAATTCTGCCATCGTCTGTTTCGACCTTGGTCTCAAAATCCCTATCTTCTTCAAAAATATAGGGATTCTCCTCTTCCCCTCCTTCATCTACTTCTTCTACCTTTTCAGTGCATTCCTCCTCTTCTTCATGCTCTTTATGATGATAACCTTCATGCGCTATCTTCTTACGAAATTTCTCTTCCTTATCTTTCTCTCGCTTTTGCTTCATATGATGATATGCGTCACAATTTTGAAGACACGTCTGCTTGTCATCCTCAGTGTATTGCGGCTGCTGTAGGCACTGGTGTTTGCATGTTCTGATCTCAGGATCTTCTACTACCTCAGTGTCTCGCTTGGCCAAGGCTAGGTATGAGAACAAGGCTAAGAGAACAAAGAGAAAGATAGGTATAGAAAGGTTGATTCTCATGGCGATGGTGTGAAACAACAAAGTCACTCTTTGAGATGAAAGAGGAAATGCATTGTGTTTGTTTATATGAAGGGAAGGTGCAAGGAATGGGATAGGAATTGCATGCAGTTGGACATGTGTTAATGTACGTGTCTCTTAAATAGCAAGCAAGATAGGTAATTCATGCCAAGTAGAGGTGGGAGGGCGGATATATACAAACCATAAACAGATAACTTTTTGCATTTTTTCATATTCCTATTTTCTTAAGAAAATGATGGAGAGAGACCCTGTTAGTATACACGTACCAGACAAGTAAATAATAACAATAATAGTAATATATTACATATCGTGTTGGGAATATTATCACTGATGTAATTGGTAAAAAAGATATCAATTATGTATAAACTATTCATTGTATTATATAATATTCTTGTTTGAGAATTTAACTATCTAGGGGTTTTGTTTAAAAAGATAATTCCAATCTTATTTGGATTGAAGACTTATTAGTATATAAATGATGTTGGTAAGTAAGGGGTATAATTTATTAAAATTAGTATTTTTAATAATTTTTATTTATGTCTGAAAGAATAATACGTGAGATTTAGTTTGTGTAATCAAACTTAGGAAACTAAAATTTCATATTATTGTAATATCTGGAGAATTAAATGAATTAAACATAAAAACTAAAATAATGGATGGAGATGGAGGAGAAAATGGAGATATAAATATAATTGTTGTTTGCATATGTTTAAATGTCTCATTTTTTTCTAAAACGATTTAGGGACACTTGTATGGTGCTAGAGTCCAAAAGAGAGAGTTAAAGTGATATGATTGATAAGATAATTAAGCTTGGAAATGTATAACAATTAATAATTTTAATTGATGCAAGTAAGTATAGTGAGTTTCTTTCTTGTCGCATTATTATTTAACTTTTTCTAACCTTTCGCTAACTGAGACACGACACCTCGTTTGTTGTTTCATGTGAAAAATATAAATCGAAATAATTTATTAGAAACGGCTGGGGGAAAAAATAATAATAGATAAAACCATTTTGTATTCACGTGAAAATATCATAAGTGGGCCTACATTCTCTTTCGCCAAATATGCGACTAGAGTTTTTCATTTTTAGGCCTATAAGACACGTTTAACCACTAAACTATTCTAGCCACTTGACTTCATACAACAAGGTTTGTTGTAGTTGAAACTGGTTGAAAGAGTGACAAGCATGAATCTGACGAGAGAGAAGACTTATGGACGAACCCAAATAATAAAATCACTCCAACAATAACAATGAAAAGGGGTTCTTTTTGCATTCTATTATGTATTTTGCAAGTTGATGTCAATAAGAGACAGTTATAAATTTATCAAATAAAATTTATTTTTCATTCTAAATGTTAAATTTGTTAGGTAAACTTTAATTAATTATCTGAGTTTGATTCTAACTATCAAATATAAACATTATCTCATCCTCATAAACATGTTGTAAACAAAATACGAAAACGTACCTGAATTATCTATAATGATGATATCCTTGTAGAACACTATATTGATCTTATGGTCTTCCACCTGAAGAGCACCTGTATTTCCCTCTTGATTTTCTCTCTTGATGGGGATAGAAAGAAAGGAACGGGAGTAAAACTTACGTTCTATCTATGTGTTCCCAGAAGGGGACCATGACCCCTTAAAATAACCAGATTTAGGTTAATTACTTAAGTTTTAGTATTTTCAATTTAGTCCCTCATCAAATCAGAAATTGTTCTATGGTCTCTACACAATTTTATTTTCATGACATATGCCTTTAGCCAAACTTTTTTTAATTTAGTCAGATCACTTTATTATTTGGTTCAATAAATAATGGTCCTCACACATTTAAATTATGTATCATATATATACATGACCCAAAATTTGCCAACAATCTCCCACTGGTCACAAATATATATGTCCTTACAACCTTACAAATGTGTTAGACTTTATGAGCTCAAAATTGTCATTATATTCCTTTAGCATACTCCAAAAGTCCCGTCTATTGATCATATCAGGATATAGAACTAAAACAACTTTTCATTGCATCATTACAACTAAAACCAACAATGATTACTAATCCTGACATAACTAAATGACATGGATTCATCATGAAATGTGTAGCATGAAAAATTACATGAAGGTGATCTGTACACGTCTATTTTCAACTGGTCCAAACTTTAACTTATCGAGATCGATATAATAACTTTAATGTACAAGGTGTAATGAATGAACGAAAAACAACATATCTATAGATAACCAAATATGTCCAAAAAATCAATGTATACATATATGAAATTAAACATAGAACATAAAATATATGAAAATGACTAACTCCCACTAAACCACAAATTCCTTAAACTGTAAAACATCCATGTGAGCAACATGCTCATGAAAGACCTTGGGCGGAAGTCCTTTAGTTAGAGGATCTGCTATCATGGAGGTTGTCCCTAATTGTTCTATGGAAATCTGTCCACTCTGTACTCTTTCCTTAACAATACAGTTGATTTGTTGTCATAATATAACTTAAGTGGTCTTTCAATGTCTTTCACAATTTGCAGCCCTGTGACAAAATTTCTCAGCCATATTCCATGATTTGATGCCTCATAGCATGCTACAAATTCTGCTGCCATAGTGCACTAGTGGAAAAATAGCATTCTATGACGAGTTTTTATCACGGTCGTAGTCCACCCGTCATAGTATGTAGCGCGGTGACAATTTTGTAATTAAATCATAAACTTTCTATGTCGGGTAAATTTTAACCGACATAGTAAGTGGAAAGTTCACTTTCTATGTCGGTTAAAATTTACCCGACATAGAAAGTGAACTTTCTATGTCGGTTAAGTTTTACCCGACATAGAAAGTGAACTTTCTATGTCGGTTAAGTTTTACCCGACATAGAAAGTGAACTTTTATGTCGGTTAAATTTTAACCGACATAGAAAGTACTTTTTATGTCGGTTAAATTTTTAACCGACATAAAAGTACTTTCTATGTCGGTTGAAATTTAACCGACATAGAAAGTGTATATTAAATAAAAAAATTAAATATATAAGTATATAAATATTTATATATCAAAATATATAAATATATTTGTATTTATATATTTTGTATATAAATATAATTTATTTGTAAGTTATGTATCGAAATTCGTAGTAGTTTAGTGGTTGGAGTATTAGTCTCCAACTCTAAGGTACTGGGTTTGAATCTTGTTAGACACAAATCTCTTAAACAGATAATAAAATAATATATTATAAAGTATAATAAAAATATAATATGAATAAATAAATAAAAATCGTACTAGTGTAGTGGTTGGTCTAATTCTAGACTCTAATGTACTCGGATTCGAATCCTACCGAGTGACAATTTTTGTAAAAAGTCCATTACTTTCTATGTCGGTTCATTACAACCGACATAAAAAGTCATACTTTCTATGACGGTTCATCACAACCGACGTAAAAAGTCATACTTTCTATGACCCCTATATCTATGTCGCCTCTTTAACCGACGTAAAAAGCTCATTTTAACCGACATAAAAAGCCTTTTTTGCACTAGTGGTGGATGAAGCTGTATGAGTTTGCTTGACATTGCGCCAAGAAACTGCACCACCTGCCAATATGAAAATGTAACCTAAAGTGGATTTCAAACTATCTTGACATCTTGCAAAGTCTGAGTCAGAAAACACAGTGATCTCCAACTGGTCTGACCTCATGTATGTGAACATATAATATTTTGTTCTCTTTAAATATTTCATGACCCTTTTTGCTGCTTTCCAATGGTCCATTCCTGAATTGCTTAAATATCTGCCTAGAACCCCAACTATGTATGTTATGTCTGGATGCGTACATACTTGGGAATACATCAAACTCCTTATAGCTGATGCATAGGGAATCTTCTACATTTCCTCAATTTTCAAATTTCCCTTTGAGCACTGATTGAGACTAAACTTGTCTTCCTTAGCAACTGAAGTATCCCCGACTCATGATGCATAGATTCTTGAGGATCTTGAGTATGAGGTTCATCAACAATGTCTTGTGGAGGTTCCAAACTTACTTTATCAAAAATAACTGTTTGAATCGATTTTGGACTTGTTACCGATTCTTTCTCCAAGACAAAGTTCTTAATCTTATACTTTCCCCCAAACTCAATATCCTCAATGAACATAGTAGTTCCCGTCTCAAAAAATTGTCTTTAATGTCTCTCCCTAGAGTGATTCCGATAAGGTGGAATGACAAATCATACTCCTTACCATATCTTTAAGAGTGTAATACAAGTCCAAGCACCACAATTAGATTGTGACCTGAGCGCCTGTGCCTTAATGCACCTAAGTGAGTATTACCAATTTTACGTTTAGTACCCCGTGATTCTGTATTAAGGGTTTCATTATAGGTGGCCACAGTATCAAGTAAATACAGATTATCATAAGCCAAAAGTGAACCAGTTCCAAAAATATTTGAATTAAAATATAAACTGAATTCATTGTTTCCAAATGAATAAGAATAACCTGATTAGTCCAAATAAGAAACTGAAATTAAATTCCGTCTAAATAACGGCACGACAAAAGTGTCTTTCAAATCTAAATAAAAACCCAGTACACAATAAAATCTAAAATGCCCAATAGTTTTCACCTCCACTGATTTGCCATCTTCAATGAATGTCCATCTCTTAGAATCAGTTGGCTTCCGGTAGTTTAGACAATCCTTTCTTTTCACGCCAAGCATGATATTTGACACATTTCTTCTTTATGTGTCCAGTCTTATTGCAAAAGAAACATTTGTTTTCCTGAGTTTGTTTCTTTTGTTCTGGACCCTTAGCAGCTTCCTTATTGGGATCCTCCGATCTCTTTCTTTTGCCCTTAGCCTTGGAGGTGCTTGCAAAATGAGCACTTTCTGTCTTGTCTTGCTTTAGGCTTTCCTCTTCTTACACACAGTGTGAAATGAGCTCATTAAGAGACCATTTATCCTTCTGACAGTTGTAAGATACCTTAAACTGATTAAATGT